TAAAACTATCATAATAAGAAAATTAGATTCAAACTCGATTGTAATAGTTCTTGATAGGAATGGAGATGTTTGAGGAAGTGAAGAGACATATGACACAATCCATGTTTTGGTTCAACCAGCATCTTTCCAACAATACCAGGGATGACCTGACTGGCAACTTCATCATCGTGTTGACTGATCTAGTCTTCGAACTGGGTTGTTTCTGGCGTCGCTACTGTAGATCACAATCACTAATTTATTAAATATGAGTCAGAGCAGCATCTAAAGCTTAATCGAATATGTGTTAATTACAAATTGTTGTTATTTGCCTCCTAAAGAATTCAAGCTTCCCGAGGTGCTCATCTTTCATTCTGTAGGTGAAACATTCCAGTTTAGGAGGGCCTAGATGTGCCGTCATTTACAGATCAGACTGGTCGACGCTGTTGGTGAGTTTGAATGGTTGAAACAAAGTAGAATTGGGTCGCTAATGCTTCTGTCGCATGAGACATGAATTCTCTGATACTCTTGCATGTGAATCTCAAGAAAGTTAACGTGGTTAGATTCTTCCACTTGAAGGCAAGAATCACACAGCTGAATATACGCCTGTGGATTGTCCCACCTCCTGCTTCAGGAGAGCTGACGAAGTCGCTCGCTTCATATTGTCTGCGAAAAAGTTTCAGAAGCGCATTTTTCAAACAGCCGTGCTGACGAAGGTGATTGTAGCTGCTGTTCGCACCATGCTCCACGTCGTTCAGCCACTCGTGATAGCTCAGATAAGTTCTAACATGGGATGGCATGATGAGGTCTTCTCTTCATGCTTTACTGGAGTGGCTTAATGAATATAGAAGATGATTTTCACTCCGCCTATTGTACGGAACCACTGCCGAAATGGAACATATATTCTTCGATCAATCATCGATTTGATCGAGCATCTCTACGGTCACGTTCATGGCCATTTTTGACAGTAGGTGAAGGGAAAGAATTCGACGCAGTAAATTTGAACTTCTTCATTGCCCAACAACAGCAGTTCATCTCCACGGCGAATCATGTACACATGGTGAATTAGATCAAAGCTCGGTTCAGATTGAAATAGGGCTCTCAATCTCAAATGCCGGTGTCTATCGTACAATATGTTGCCTGTTGTTTATGGCAGAGTCAACGGCTCAATTAACCTCTTGCTTGTATGAGCTACTACTGCAGCCTTTCCGAAAAGTCCCATAATACGCAGAAAATTGACCTCAAATTTTTGGGTGATCGATTGTCGACCACTTCAATACAGCAGCAGCTGGATCATTATCAAACCTAGTGGGAATTGTTGGTGGTGTCAGTTACTTCTTTGCGACACAGCTGCCTCCTTTTAACACTCCCTGAAGAGATGAATTGAGTCGCGATGATGTCTGGCTTAGAAAATTCTCGGACATGGTGATTCAGCAGGTGAAATATTAGAATCTCGAGCCATAAATCACACACTGAACTTGGAAGCATGAAGGCCAAGACCAACAGCTCCCAGACAAGACACAGAAGAAGTAATTACCAACCAGTGGGTTAAGTCGAATATTCACAACTCCCCGCTTGCATGTGAACCCATGTGGTGAAAGATAGTCTTTTTCTTTCTTCAGCGATGAAGCGACCTGTGAACGAGGAAATCGTCATGACGTGTTTCACAATACTCAACGACGCGTTGTTTGTCTATGAGGCGTGGGTATCTGACTGGTGAGAACTTCGCCCTTCCCGATGCTTTACTCCCACATTACCTGAAGCAGGTCAAGGCTTTCAGATCGAGGATACTCAGAAATCTCTCCCACGTCTCGGTTTGGGTTTACGATACTCCTCAGCGTTTCAAGCATGCCGACAACTGGATCAGGGAAACGCTTCATTAGTACTGAAGCGAGTCATGTATAAACATTACGTTGTGCAAGCTGTGGATTGCTGCTGGAGTAAATGATAGCCAGTTGAACAACACAAACAGTATTTAAAGTGAAGTGAAATTCAGATTACGGGTACAATTTAGATTGAGATTCAACTCACCTTCCAGTATGTTCTTCGAGTTACTCCTGTGCTCAAACAGAAGGTATGCCCTCGCTGGTTACATGATCTCCGTCTGAGTCCCAGCAGAACAAGTCAGAATATGAAATATGAAACATTTCGTGGTAAATAAGTAAGTGACAAATCTAATATCATACATGTGGTTCCAGAGCTTTGGGATGTAATTTGTTGTTGACTATTGAAAAGTAGTGAGAAAGTATTACATATTTTTTTATTAAATTGTAAATTATTCTTTTCTTGATTCATTTGCATTATACATTCTGAAAAATAAAGAATCAAAAGTATTGCCATTTATGTGATTAGATATGGATTTGGTTATGTAAATGGCAATCAATGAAGTATATTTCACCTCCTTACAACAGGGCGGGTTAAACAAGGAGATTGGGTTAGGAAATAAATATTCAAGAATTTATTTGGTCTAATAATGTACCAATGGTTTTATTTTAAATTGACACTCCTATTCTGCAAGTTTTAATGCATTATTTTGGAATACAATATGGAAGGTTATGCAAAGCTATTAAATTGAATTAAAATATTGAAATGATAATACAGATTCATGATGCAGTCCTTGCATCAATCACAACAATTAATTGCTTTGTGACATGGCTTAGACAGAGGCGATATTAGATTTGCAAGATGGGTGATTGAATCAACTTCCACTAGTATTAGCTAGTTGTACTTTCCAAAGAATATACAAGAGAGTAATTCTTTTTTTCTTTTTTTTCTTTAAAAGTTTTTGGAAATTCTAGATTTCTTGTTGAGATAATAAACAAAAAAATATTTATTTATCATAAACATATCATTTTTTGTCCATGAAATATTTTTAAGTATCTTATTTGTAAAATATTATTAAAACTATATATATTTACAAATAATAAGATAAAATAAAATAAGTATTCTTAAAATAATATTAAAAATCCCAAATTTCAATTTTCATTTATCAGAACTGGGAAATTTTCATACAGAAAAATCAAAACAGACACATCTATTTTTGTCAAAAAAAATCATTCATAAATAAATGTTTACTAAGTTCAAATGAAATTCTTAGTTCTTGTAGGCATATGCAAATACTCACAATCCAAATCTCAAGAAGAAGGCACATAGAATTGGCCTCCTCTCCACACACACACACAAAAAATGTTATAAGTTAATACTCCTTTGCCCAGCATGTGTGGTTGGAAATTGAGAGTCATCCTTAAATCTATAACACTCTAAAAGAGCCAAAACTTTCATTCTTTCTCTGTTTCCAAGTAGATTCCGTGCAAATTTGTCCACATAGGTCTTCTATTCATTTCCTTTGTCAGAAGCCATTGAATGTAGATTTACACTGCGATCTTCAGCAAGTCCAGCCTCAATTTGTCTCTGAGCCCAGCATTTAGAAGCAGGTCCTGGGATGGTAAGGAAAAACTCCCTTGATGCCTGTTGCTGATGTTTGTCACTAAATGCCTGCCCCAGTGAGATTTCTTTTGAGAACAGTTCTCCATGTTTGAGTAAAACAGTGTGTGCACAGAATCTCCCATTCATTTTTCTGGTTCAAGGGGTCCACCTCAACTGGAACCTGGCACTTTTGGAAGGATAATGTCCCACTCTGGAACATTTTTATTTCATATTATTTTATTTTTAGAAAAAATGGATCCATGGACAGAGACCAACTGCTTCTGTTGGTTTTGTGATGCACAGAGCCAATGAGGATGCATCATGCTCTAGGGGGGGGGGGGTGCCCTTGGGAACAGTACACACAGCTAAAAGAGATCCACAACTGGTAGAGAGATTCAATTATTTAAAATAAAACTAAAGAAATGGAAAAGGACAATGAATAAGTTGGCAGAATGGAAAAACTATGACTGTGGACCTTCCCGCTTTGGCCTGGTGACCAATCTCCCTCTCTGTCTCTGTGTAAGTGTGTGTGTGTGTGTGTGTAATTATATATGCATGTAGTCTCACAGCCAGAATTTCCACCTCATCTGCTCCCTTTGCTAGCCCTAACTCCCAACTATTCAAGTCCAGGAAGGTTGTGGAGTCAAGTCACTGGCAAAAACTATATCACCACCTCCCAAGTCCAGGTCCAAGCCCATTCAAATAAACCCACATAGATGGACTCCCTGCACTAAAATTCAGCAGCTTTTGTGGACTGCATTTTTCATTTGGAATCTTTGGATAATATTTGGGTTTTCTGGGGAAAAACAACCCTGTAAATGCTGCAAAATCCAGAACCCCAGCAAGGGCCTACAGTGATGGTCTTTTCTCATTGGCAACAAACAAACAAGCAAATAAACAACAAAAATGGCCACATGGTCCCATACAGTAGAGGTCAGACCTGTTGTGCAGCAATGTCATCCAAAACTTCTTGTTACCAAATCATGCTGTGGTTATCTACATATATTGATGAAACACTAGAATATCCAACTTGATGTGGAGTCTAATGGGGTTTTTTTGGTTGTATGTATGTATGTCTATATATATATATATATACATGCATGCCCACACACATTTAAATGAATGAGTTGAAAAGGCAATTCAATTTATTTTACTGTGCTTGCCAGGATCTTGGTTCAAGGTCTCCATCACACAGACTTCTTCCCCCTCCTCCGGTTCTCATCACTTATCACTCTCATCCATTATTTGATCCTATGATGTGCCCGTACAGAGCTGCCATTTTATGTGACCAAGCACCCACCTTGACTGTAACCCTTGGCAGAGGCACAGACAAAGGTCTCTCTTCTTCTTCTCCTTCTTCTTCTACTACTTCTTCTTCCTACTCATCCATCCTTTTTGTCTTGCTGCATTTTCCAGAGGGGGTTGTAGAAACATTTCCTCCTCCACCTCCTCTACTGGCTGGCTTGATTGAAAGACATTGTCCTGTCAAGTATGAAAAATGATCGTATCAACAGTGACCTATTGAAAATGCCTGGGTATACAAGGTGGAAAAATTAGACCCCCTGCCACTACAAATGGCCATACCACAGGCTCCCCCACATACTCCCTAGCCCCTCACGCATCTTACTTCATTCACTCACTCACAATTCCCCCTCCATACCCATATAACAGAATACTCCTGCTGCTGCTTCTGTTGCTCTCTCCTCGTCCTCCTCCTAGCATCCCCCCCTCAATGGAAGTCGCCTCTTGGACCTAGAGCCCTTGACTCCCAAGCTTGCAACATTAAAGCTGAAGGGAATTCCCTTGCTCATTAATAGCCATGGGGAAAGGAGAATTGGGATTCAAACGTGACAGGGAATGCCAGTCGTAACTTCTCCATCACACTGTAGTTCAATTTCTCCGCCTTCTACTTCACCTTCTGCTGTTGCTTCTGTTACCTCCCTGCCTCTCGGGGTTCACTGCCTGGCTCATGGTTTTGAACCTTGGCCAGAACTTGTATGAGCTGGTAGTGCTTGTGGGTTGCTCCGTTGCGGGGCAACTGAAGCTTGTCTGTGTGAAGGGTACTTTTTCTTTGTGAGTACCGTGGTCAACAATACGCGCTTGCGCTTTTTCGTGTTCTTGCTGGTGAGGTTGCCGAGGTGGGAGAGGATTTGGAGTGGGGAGGGGGGCAAGTTTTGGGCGTTGGGTGGTGGGGGTGGTGGTTTTTGTAAATTTTTTTGCGTTTGTTGTGGTGTTTGCATCTGTAGTTTCAGTTGCGGTGTTATGTTTTATTTTCGGAAGGTATTGGTGCTGTATGGGGGCGAGGCTATGTGTGAGGGAGTGGTGGCGAGGTGGTGTCTATGTGGTGTCTGTGTGATGTGTTTGTGATGTGAGAGTTGATGCGGTGGGTGTGTTCTCGTGGTGGGGTGGTTCCCAGAGAGGGTATGGGATCCATGTGTGCCCGATGGCCACTTGCACAAGTTTCGAGGTTGCGACGGACGGAAGGGGCGGTGGTAACAATCCGTGGGATGGCCAGGACAGAGAAGGAGGCAATGGGCGGGGATGGCGCCACTACTACGCTCTAGGATTGATTATCCGTACGCGCTCCCTCCACGGGCAGTTAAAATCTATGACATACACGGTGACCTGTGCTGGTTCTAGGGTTTCTTCTTCTTCTTCGAGTAATCTTTGTGGTTGCTCGAATTTCTTGGCGCAGGAAGAAACATCGGCTATTGTGTAAGGGAGTGAATACCTCTGGGTTCAGTATATGGCGTGATTGATTGATTGATTGATATTTAGTGAATTCGCCATCGCATCGCGGTCTCGGAGGGAGGTAGACGAAATGAATAACTGCAGTGTTAGGGCGCGAGGAGGTTTGTCGTTATTTGGAGTTTTGGTGGTTGTGTAGTGAAGAGTGGAATGAATGCGGAGGGAGAGACAAGAATGGGTAGGGTGCGGAAGTAGAGTGCAGAGGAGAGTTGGTTGTGTGAGGAGGGTGGGGACGGAGGAACGTTTATGGCCAGTCACGAGGAGATCGATTTGTCGGCCAAGGCGTTGCACAAGCGCTATGAGGGGCTCGTGACTGTGCGCAGCAAGGCTATTAAGGGCAAAGGCGCGTGGTATTGGGCCCATTTGTTGCCCTTGTTGGTGCAACATCCCGACACGGGGTTGCCCAAGGCTGTCAAGCTACGATGCTCTTTGTGCAATGCCATGTTCTCTGCTTCTAATCCCTCGCGCACCGCTTCGGAGCATCTGAAGCGGGGCACTTGTCCCAATTTCAATGGGATGGTGTCGAAGCCTCTAGTCTCCCAAGGACCCGGACCCAAACCAGCTTCGCCACCCTCTGTTACCCCGAGAAAGAGAACTGCTGCGTCCTCATTGGGTCCGCAATCGATCTCGGGTGGCGATGGTTCGGGTATGGAGCTTGCGCGTGCTGGCACACCGGGTACGCCCTTAATGCTGTCGGGGGGAAAGCAGGATCTCGACGCGCTGGCATTGCTTGAGGATAGTGTGAGGAAGCTGAAGAGCCCGGGGATGAGGATGGGAGAGTTCCAGGGCAGCGGATTACCAAACAAAGCTCAGGCCGACGCAGCCCTCAATCTCCTGGCTGAATGGCTGTATGAGTCTTGCGGCACCGTCTCGTTTTCTTGTGTGGAGCATCCGAAGTTCAAAGCATTTCTCAATCAACTGGGTCTACCTCCAGTGAGCCGGCGGTACCTGGCAGGTGCTAAGTTGGATGCAAAGTTTGAAGAAGTGAAGCAAGAGTCGGAACTGAAGCTTCGAGAGGCCTTGTTTTTCCAACTTGCTTCCGACGGATGGAAGGAGAAAGCGACCGGCATGGGAGAGACGCTTATCAACATTACGCTCAACCTCCCCAACGGCAATTCCCTGTTTCGTAGCGTAGTCAATGTAAACACCGGTGCGGTCTCTGGCAAGCTCGTTGAGGAGACGTTAGCGGAGGCTATTTCCTCAATATGTGGTCCCTCGCCAGAGCGTTGCGTTGGAATAGTTGCAGACGCTGACAGATACAGCCTGAATGCGTTGGAAGAATTAGAGTATCGATTTCCAAGGATGGTTAATCTGTGCTGCCAGGCTCAGGGCTTCAGCAATTTGTTCAAGGACTTCAACAAGCACCTGCTGCTCTTTAGGTCTGTCGGAACTGAGTGTGCCAAGATCTCTGCTTTCTTCAACAACCAGCCTCAAGCCCGTTTGTACTTGCACAAGTATCAGCGCGAGGTAAAGCCTCCAATCCTGTTTGTCTCGCTCTCCAGAAGATCATTTATTTTCTGGATTATTTTGTAGTAATTTTGAAAATACTTGACACCACTGCGGTATCGCTACAGGAATACAATGGCGTGAAATTGCTCCGTACTCCACCGGACCCGCAGTTTGCGGAACCACATTATTCATTCTTGTTGGTAATGCTCGACGACATAACGGCATCTGCACGAGCGCTGCAGCACAGCGTGCTCGATGAGTCGTTTAATCCTCACTTCTCTGATAACCAGCTCGCGGATGAAGTGGCAGAGCTTGTGGGAAGTGTTCGGTTTTGGTCTGATTTGGAAGCAGTGCAAGACTTAGTGAAGATTGTTAAGGGTATTGTTAACGATATCGAAGTTGATAGACCCCTTGTGAGCCAGTGTTTACCGCTTTGGGATGAGCTCCGAGCGAAGGTAAAGGATTGGTGTGCTCGCCATGACAAGGATGGAGCCTCCGTTTATGAAATTATTGAAACTCGCTTTGGCAAAAATTACCACCCAGCATGGTCAGCAGCGCTCATCCTTGACCCGCTTTACCTGCTCCGCGACTCGAGTGGCAAGTATCTGCCTCCCTTCAGATGCCTGACTTCCGAACAAGAGAAAGACGTCGATCGCTTGATAACGCGACTTGTTGCAAAAGAAGAGGCTCACATTGCTTTAATGGAGTTAATGAAATGGCGTGCAGAAGGGCTGGATCCACTGTATGCCCAGGCTGTGCAACTTAAACAGCGGGATCCATTAACAGGTCGCATGAAAGCTGTAAATCCCCAGAGCCGGCGTCTTGTTTGGGAGACTTGTCTTAGTGAATACAAGTCATTAGGCAAAGTGGCTGTTCGGCTGCTCTTCCTCCATGCTACCAGCTGTGGGCTTAAGTGTAATTGGTCGATGTGGCGATGGGCTTATCGAAATGGAAACTCCCGACTCGCAATTGAGAAAGCAGAGAAGATGATATTTATTGCGTCACATGCCAAGTTGGAACGCAGGGATTTCACTAACGAAGAAGAGAGAGACGCAGAGCTCTTTCTGAATAGCAACGATGGCAGCGATGAGATGCCGCCAGATGAGGTTTTCCTGAATGCATCGACTTTGTAATATTATGCCTATCATTTTTCTACTGTTGCGGACAGCACACGTAGCCACAGATCTTAGAGTAGGCGTTGAGCCAATTTTTCGTGTTCCTGTGCTCATGTGTACATTTTGAGGTGTTTTTTAACTTCTGAATTGGGAGGGAAGGTTATTTTAAGAGTAGTTGATAGAAAGGCTCAGAACGATGCTGGACCCCGTGTCAATGGGTTCGATTGTTGGTTGATTTTGGAAGCACGCTGGGAGTGATACCATGGAGTTGTTTCTCTCTATTGGGGGAAGCCTTCGCTCCTGCGGCTTAGTAACGATATAACACGGTGTAGGGTTCTCTGTTCCGGAAGATTGATTGCTAATGGGCCACTCAGTAACAGATTGGTTAAATTTTTTGTTCCATGGTATTGCCAATGTCAGGTACAGTAAATGTTTCCCATTAGTGGGGTGGTTGCAAGCCATCAGATACTTGCTGTGCATTACACAGATGATTCATCAATCATAGAGACATTCTTGTGGCATTTCCACTTTGTACAGTTTTCATTCTCAGTGTCTTTCTTCACTGGTATCAGCCCGACTCTCAATTTCCCCATCACCTCTGTTAGCAACCCCATTGAGCGCCTTCATTTGACTTGCTTGTGGCCTGCACATGACTCTTGCAGATGTTACATTAGATGGTATCAAACCCAAGATTCTCCTTTTCAAAAAGAGCTGACGAACCTCCCTGATTTAAATTGAAGCGATAACAGTGGTCCGACCTTTCACCAAGTCCTGAAACCCGTCTACACCCATACATTCATATTATTCGTTGCTCGTACAAATTTGGATCATTTTCATGTTTTTATTTAATTTCAGTCTATGAGAATTACTCACTGCTACAAGGTTTGTGACGTGTTAATAAACAACAAACCTCATCGAAAAAACACTGTTAGATACATATCACTCTAGGATGGCTGATAGTTAAACAGCAATGCCAACATTCATAGGAAGATCTCCTGGTGCTCATCGAGGTTGGATGATAATTTATTTAATGAAACAAGCATTGAAGAACACACGATTACTCTTCATTTTCAAGAAACACCAACAAACTCTGACTTTCTGGTTACCTGGACCTCTAAGGTGGCGACCGCAGGTTGAATGGGTAAATAGTGAAAGTGAAACTGCGAAATCTCGACCTTCAACGCATCTGAGCAGCAGAGTATGACCGGCAGAAACCACATCCATGAGAATATAGTGCTCTAGATTGGTTGACCGACCAATCCAGACTCTTCAAAGTCGCTGATCAGCATTGAGTTGCACCATCGCAACAAATGGTCGGAACTAAGAAACATTCTGGGTAGAATGAATGCCTTGTCTGCTTCTGCTACGCAATCATGGACGCCTTTGTGTGCTATTGATTGCTTTTTTCTCCAGGTCTCCACCATCAACCCATGTCAGTGTAGACTTCTGTAGCTGATACTATTCGGCACCGGCTCTCTAGACGTCGTTCTAGCGTGCCACGTATCCTATCTCCGTTAACTCCAATATTTATGCATGAGTTAAATATTGATCGATCTACTATTACTAGGCCAGGTTAGTTTCCATTCTGGTTGTCCTGCTTCCACTCCGCTAATATTCGATTCCCACACCACTGTTGACGAAACTGCTGCTAGTACGTGGCTGCTTGCTGTGGTCGACGTTTCATAAGCGCTTGTGTTCTGAACCATGCGTCTCTTCCGTAATCAATCAGTTGCAGCCACATCTTGTGGTGTTGTTCGATTTGTCAATTTACCCCATTAAAGACCCTTGCCTACTTTGGTGCCTTGCTTTGGTGAAGAATTCTAGGCTTGGTTGCCATTTCCCTCTTACATAAGGTTGACATTGGCCAAGTTGGTGTCACAATAACAAGTGTAAATTGGAGTAGCAAGGTTCTATTGCCTTTACCACCTATTTAGCTAGTAAGGCCACTATTGCATCTACCAAATTGATGAGGTTGATCCCCCCTTTACTTTACTAAGTAGTTGACAATATTATATCTAAGACATCTTAGTATGAGCATGTTGCATTGTCTCTCTAGCTATGTAGTTGCTTAGTGAAGTCTTAATTTTTGCTATACACTTCTTTGTTCATCCTCATAACAATATAAAGTAGAATATTGTAGACAAGAGTATACTATTGACTATGGTACCTCTTTTTGTAGCATTTATCATTCTTAAATACCAAAAACTTTATTTTTTGTTAATTTTTTGTTGTAAGGAGTCAAAATTTGATGATATAGGAAGAGTCCAAATGATGCTCTTATTAGTTTACTAATTTCTTTCTCATTGGTCCATATAATTCTTAATTTGTTTGTCTATGGTAGTTGTATATTTCTATTTTTATTTTTCTAATGTCTACTTGACTTGTTTCAATTTAGAATAAGGCTCAATCTAAACAAAATATTTCTAATGTATATATAATATGTCTTATATTGACTTCCCGTCTTAATAAAGTCAAAGAAGCATCATCCACATATTCTTCTATAGTTTATTTTTCATTGACTATAAGTAATTATATAACTTTTATTAATCCTAAATTTGCTTCTTTTGTGATTATTGAATGAAGTACTTCTGCTTCAATGAGAAAGAAATATGGAGCTAAGGAGCACTTTTGTCTTATTCTACTTTTAATTGTAAAAGATTTTGAAAGAAAGCCATTGATCTTTATGCATGCCTTAGCATCTTTTAAAAATAGACTAACCATGTGATTAAATTCATTAAGTGGTTCCATTCTTTCCATTGCAAGAAATAAAAAATGCCATTCTACTATATCGTAAGCTTTTGAGAAGTCCAATTTAAGAAAAAAAATGAGATTGATTAGATTTTTGTATTCATACCATAGTGTCATGTGATAGTAGTAAATTATCCAATATGAAATGATTTGGTAAAAATGTGAATTGGTCCATCCTAAAAATCTTCATAAGAATTGTATGGAGCCATAATTACATTAATTTTGTATATATCTTATGACCTACATTTAATAAGGTAATAGATTGCTAATTTAACAGATTACTTCTTTTTCCTTCTTTGTATAATAGTGCTATCAAGCCTTATGTCATGTTCGGAAGGAGATTCCCTTTATGGATACTTTCTTGAAGCATAAACAAGAACTCTACTTCCAACGAGTTCCAAAATACTTTATAAAATTCCAATATCACTCCATCAAGGCTTAAGAACTTATTCCTACTCATATCTTTTTATTGTTGTGGTAAGTTCTACTAATGATAAAGGCTTATTTAAGTTGGTTATTTTGTCTCTCTATAACTTATTCATTATTCTTAGCATTGAGTATTGCTAAGCTTTCCTTACAATTGAGGTGGTATGTCTAGACTTATAAAGAGAGTTATAGAATTGTTGGCATATGTGTAATAGGGCATAGATAGGATATTTGTATTATTTGCACATAGAAATATATAGGTGGAGTTGTATTTGAGAAATTTCTAGAATTTAGGTTAGGATGGTGGTTCATGTAGAATCCACCATAAAATCTTCTAGAAAGGCTTAAGGCAGTTATTATGATGGGATCCACGTCTAAAATCTTTTAGAAGAAAAATTATCTTGATGGAATCTACTATTAGAAACATTCTAGAAAGTTCTAGAATAATTGAACAAAGTATAAATAGGACTAACTAAGGCCATTTGGATATTTGGTCAGGTATGGCTTCAAACTCTTTCTCTTAGTAAAATTTGGTTTTTTTTATTTTGTTCTATTTGATTATGTTTGGTTCTATTTTCTTCTATTCAGTCCTATCTTTGTAGTTCCATTTTATTTAATTAATTTCAATTTTATTGTGGTGTGCTTGGTCTTATGTTGTGTCAAGATCTTTATTGTTATAGATTTGATAAGGTTTTAGACCTTAAAGAATCTGATCTTATTTTATTGGTATTAGAGTAAGTGTTAGTCTGTTCTTTGATACTCCATTGATAGCCACCATTTAGTTAGAAGTAAATTTTTGTGATTACATCAGATATTATTTTGAACTATAATAAGTTACTTTAAGAAGTCAGTTGGAGGAAGAGAAGGCATTACAATAGTAAAATTTAGTAAGAAAATTATAATTTGAGAGATATGGCAGAGCAATCTCATATAGAAACTCAAAAACAACACCTCTTAGGCGAGAGAGCTACTCTATAAGGACAAATAGAAGCTTCTAAGATAAGAAAATTAACATTTACTAGGTTGAAATTGAGCAAGCTCAATATATATTCAAGGACCTCAAGACAAGAAGATATATGCTAATGGCTCTTTAGCATGTGACAGTACTTCCAATTATCTAGAATAAAGACTAGTAAAGAGATTATATATGCCTCCAATTATTTGAGAGGTGTAATAGCGATTTGGTGGTGACATTGAGCTCAAAGTTATAGAACTCAAGGCAGATTTGGTAACTAAGAGGAATTTGAGAGTGAGCTTAAGAATCAATTTCGGCCTATCAATGCATAGAAGTTAGCATATAATGAGTTGACTAACCTTACATAATTTAGGTCAGTGCAAGATTATATCTCCCAACTTAAGTCTTTATGTCTCTAAATTGGCAACATCTCTAAGACAAAGTTGATGGATCAATTTGTATGAGAATTAAAACTTATGATCGAACAAGAGGTGGAATTAAAGGATCCACAAACATTTGAGGAGGTACTTAGGATTGTAGAGAGGGTTAATGCTATAGATTTCAAGAATCATAAAATACAACCTATAGCATAGAGTCTTATGCCACTAGCCAATATTATAATGAAACAACCAATATCAATAGAGATTGATGCTTTGTAAGGACCATTGACACCACAAAGATGACAAATATTGGCACAAAAAGAATTGTGCTTTTATTATTGGAAGCTAGACCATTAGATTAGAGATTTTTTAAAACATCAAAGTTCAAGCACTAATAAATCACAATGGATTTACAATCTCAAGGGCCACTAAGTTGATGAAGAAGTGGAGCAAGAAAATAAGGCTCCTTTGTAAAGGCACTAAAAGCCCATGCTAGCTATAGTTGTTGTTTTTCAGAGACAAACAACATGGCCTTAAACAACTATCAAAAGGATCGACTAGTGTGTCTAATGGGTCGACTAAAAAGATAACCATGTCAAGTGCTTGTGGATTGTAGTTCTATAGAAAATTGCATCTTAACCACAATTGCCACTTTACTTGAAATTAAAACAAAGGTGATCAAAGGAAAGAATATATACGTAGCAGATGATTGAAAGAACTTATTAAACAAGACAAGTGAAGAAGCAACCTTAAAGCTAAGTGACACCTATGCCTTAAAAGGGAAGTTCAGAGTAACAAAGCTTAGATATGATATTATCTTTAGTATGCCATAGCTAGAGGTGGAAAATAAACAAGTAGATTGGCTAAGAAGGATAATTTTTTTCAAGAATAGAAGACACTTGGTGACTCTTTATGCCTTTGTATCAAATAGGATAGTAAAAAGATATGTAATTAAGAGCTTACTTATAGAAATGACCTTTATGAAGAAACAAATATGGCATAAATAACTAGTATATGTGGTGGTTTT